GGGAAAACATATTTTACCTATTTTAAAACAGCTACATTGGCTGTTGCTTTCAACGTACAGGTTATGACTTTTAAAGCCCTTTGCATCCTAGGATCTCCATATCGAAAGGACTGCTTTCCCCATATACCCATGTGCCAACCATGGTTTTTTGGCACCTTCTGCTGGTTGTTCTCTCACTGTAGGGAGGATCATCTGGCATTGACCAAAGCCTATGCTTTTCCCATTATACCTCCCATCCTATGGAACAGGCTTGCTAAGGAAGTAGGCAGAACCTTCTCTAGAATGTTCAGGAGGTGCTGCAATGCTATTCTACCTGCCAGGGCTTTTTACGGGTTATAGGCTGCAAGTCTTGAGGGTGTTATTTGGGGGTTTAACATGTAACTCAAACTTGCATTTTTAAACTTGAATTTGTAAGCTGCCTTGAGCCATGGGAAATGATGGGACATAAGTATTTTAATAAATAATTCTGCAAAGCTTGTATATTACGGAAATCATGTAGCAATGGTGGGATTTTAGAGCAAATACTGTCATCTTTCCAGTGGACCTCACATTCTTTCATATTGAAGGAAATGTTTCAGAAGCCAAAATGTTTCCACTCAAATTTTAATTTTAATAATCTCCCTATATATACTTGCCTATTTTTTCATAAAACATTTTGTTCCATCCTAGAATATAACGGCCTTCTACAAACTGCAATCACCAAATAATTTGGAGGGGGCATGTTCAAAACAACATTTATTGGGGTAAAGCCTTCCTCATCGCTGCCAAAGTGTTGCTGAGTTCTTCATGCTTTCTCTTGGCCTGGATGTGAGTCCCAACCTATTTCTTTATGAATTTCAAAGTTCGCTTATCTTTGGAGACTTTCAACAATTCCATTGTGCATCTCTTATAGGGTGCGAAGTCGCACACTTCCCAGATCATATCCTGAACAAATCTGGTGTGTTTGGTCAAGTGCCCACAGCGTTGGCACTAGCGTGGCTTGACCACATTCTTGGTCACCTTGTGGCCCTTGTCGAGGCCAACAGCCATCAGGTAGTGGATTGCCATGCCTGCTGCAGTCGCCGAATAATTTCAAATGTGTACTCCCTACTTTGCAAGACTGTGAAAATAAATTCTCCAAGCCCATCAATATCACCATGGTATTCAAACAATTAAAACAGCATTTTTTAGCTTTACAGAGAATTTTTTTTTGATCAACCTAGTGCCAGTGCAACCATTTAAAAATACACACATACACACAGAAACAGGTATGCATATCTGTGAGTTAAATCACCCACAGATGGGAAAAGCTTTTCCCTCACTTACAGCAAGATTCATGCATTATTATGTTTCTACTGATCTATCATTAGTTCCACTGGAGGTTCAAGGCTATGTTCAGAGGAGCTTAATGGTGAGGGAGTGCTTGCTTTGGTAGCATATCTAATGTAATATATAAATAAATATCTATGAAGTGGGGGGCTGAATGAGCTGGTTAACGCATGAGGACGATGCTTGGAGGCTAAGGTCTAATTTGTCATGGAGTTTCTAGGATAAATAAATTTTGAAAAAGAAGAATTCTGAGACACAGCTCTTTAGGAGAAAATC